GTGGACAGAGGTTTGTTACAGCATCAAGTTATGGGGCAAGTTGAGATAGCAATGGAGCCATGAGTCTAGTGGGACGTCCTATGAGCCAAACGGATCCTTTTGTATTAAACCTGGTTCTAGATAAGTATAGCATAACATTAAATGGCATAATAGATACAGGGAGTCCAATATCATTGATATCAGAAAATTTTGTAAAGGCAGAAGATATTTCTTCTACTAATATTGAGGTATATTCAGGTATAAATAAATCAACTTTGAAGGTTTTAGGGCTTTTTTATGCCACAGTTACTTTTGATGACATATCAGTAAATTTAAAATTTTATTTTGTTGAGAAAGATTCTTTTAGTTGGAATCTACTTTTGGGTCGAGATTTTATAAACAGTGAATCCATAGAAAATATAAGTTTTTCAAATGGTTCTTTTAAAATAAATACACAGAGGAGGACTATCAGTTTCCTTTTACAGATGTTTTGTTTATTAACGATATGGTAAATTTAGATGCAGACTTGAATATTAATTATTGTTTACCTTTTGAAATAACTACTAGTGTTCAAACGTTGTTGAAGTTATACTACTTTGATTATAATAAACCATTAAAACCACAGTGTGATTTCAAAGCACAGCTTGCTTTAACTAAAAATGAATCTTTTAGTATCAGACCACGTAGACTATCTTGACTATCTTATGCAGAGAAAAAGTCATGGGAAGAAATTCTTGCTAATTTATTAGAAAATAATGTCATTAGGGAAAGTTATTCACCTTTCTGTTCACCAGTAGTATTAACCAAGAAGAAGTCAAATGAATATCGAATGTGTGTAGACTATCGTACTTTAAATAAATATCTTATTAGAGATCAATTTTCCTTGCCGCTAATAGATGATCATTTAGACAGGTTAAAGAATCAGAAATATGTCTCTAAATTGGATTTGAAAAATGCTTTTTACCATGTTCCTTTAGATGAAAGTTGTACTAGGTATACTTCATTCGTTACACCTTCAGGTCAGTTTGAATTCCTTAAATTACCTTTTGGTTTGAGCTCAAGTCCCTCTATTTTTGCAAGGTTTGTTTTAAAGATTTGTGCCAACAAGGAAATGTCTTAATATATTTTGATGACATATTAATTGCTACTCAGACTATCGAAGAAAATCTAGAAGTGTTACGAGAAGTTTTAATATTAGTTCGCCAAAATTTACTTGAGTTAAGACTAGATAAATGTTCATTTTTGAAAACAGAAATAGATTTTCTAGGTGACAGAATTAGTATATGTCCTAATAAAGATAATGTGAAAGCTATTTCAGAGTATCCAGTTCCTACAGATACCAAGCAGGTGCATAGATTCTTAGGTCTTGCCAGTTACTTTAGACGTTTTATACAGAACTACTCTATCACCGCCAAGCCGTTATATGATCTATTATGTAAAAAATGTCAAATTTGAATTTACAAGCTTTTGAGAATTTAAAGTCAAAACTGACATCAGAACCTATTTTAGCAGTTTATGATCTGAGTAGAGAAATAGAACTACACTGTGATGCAAGCCAAGTCATTTTACTTCAGAAACAAAGTGATGGTAAATTTCACCCAGTGTTTTTCTTTAGCAAGAGAACAACTGACTATGAGTCTCGCTACCATAGCTACGAACTTGAATGCTTGAGTATTGTGTACACACTTAAACGGTTTCATGTTTATCTACAGGGAATCCCTTTCAAAATAGTTACAGATTGTGACAGCTTTCGCTTAACCATGACTAAAAAGGATATAATTCCAAGGATAATGAGATGATGTTTGTTATTGCAAAATTATGATTACTCTATTGAGCACAGAGCAAATACAAGAATGCAACATGTAGATGCCTTAAGCAGAGTGAGTTATGTACTGGTATTAGAAGGAAATACTATTGAACATACTTTGGCTTTAAAACAGTCCAAGAATACAGTTATTTCAGATCTTCGGAAAAGACTCGAGGAGACAGATCATCCTTTCTTTGAATTAAGAAATGGATTGGTATATAGAAAACTGAAAGTTAACATTGCATTTTATGTACCAGAGAGTATGGAGTCAGCAGTTATCTATCACTATCATAATGAGTTGGGTCACTTCGGAACAGACAAAACATTTGAAATTATTTCCAAGACATATTGGTTTCCAAAATTAAAATTTAAGATTGGAAATCATATTCAAAATTGCTTAAAGTGTATTGAATTCAATCCTAAAAGTGGCAAATCAGAAGGATATCTACATAGTATACCTAAGGGTAACTTACCTTTTGAGCTGCTTCATACTGATCACTATGGGCCATTAGCTCCTTTTAATAAGAATAAATATGTATTTGAAGTTGTTGATAGGTTTACTAAATTTATTAAGTTCTATCCTTGCAAATCAACAAACACAGTAGAAGTAATTAAATATTTAACTGAACATTTTGCCAATTATAGTGTCCCTAGCATTATCATTTCAGACAGAGGATCTTGTTTTACCTCTCATAATTTTAAGGAAGTTTTGGAGGAGTATGCAATTAAACATATACTGATTGCAAGCGGTTGTCCCAGAGCAAATGGGCAAATAGAATGCATGAACAGGTTATTGACAACTCTTCTAGCTAAGATAACTGATGGAAAACAAATCAACTGGCCAAATGCATTACATGAAGTGGAATTCTGCATTAATATTACAATAAATAGATCAACAGGGGAGACCCCAGCTAAGTTACTTTTTGGAAGAGATCAAATAAGGAAGATTAATGATAATTTAATAGAAGCATTACAAGATATTGATAAGGAAGAACGGGAGTTGGAAACAATTCGAACTAAGGCAGAAGCACAAATAATTAAGGCACAAAATATAAATGAAAAGTATTATAAAGAGCTACCAAATGAATGTTTTAACTGATATTGTTGGGTTCCAAACAACACAAATACCATACGAGGGAATTATAGACAGTAGTAGGATTAGAGCTTATGATAAATAATTAATCTCATTATTAGTTATGGTTAAAATAATTATGTTTCATTTTTATTCAATTATGTTAATGTTTTTTTATAATCCAGTACTTGTACCATTATGTTGAGACAGTTAGGATGTGTTATGGATATTATGATTCCCATTTGGACCCTTATGAACACATCAATCCATTATGAATATTATAACTTACTTATTTAATCCATTATGAATTATTATTATTATTACTATTACTTAGGTATGTTTTAAAGTTTAAAAAATTGTTCATTTCAAATATCCATTAAGTATGTTATGTCTTATGAAAGTTATGAATGTTAACTATGTTAGTTATGTAATTAGTATTCTGTAATATTAGGTTGATCGAGGACCATCAGACGTGTCAGGATGGCCGAACTTTAGTCTTTTATTTGATTTTCGCGCCATTGACGGATCTGATTGTCACTCAACTTGAAGAAAAAAAAAATAAGATAACCACACATTATGATTTAGACTTTACACCACTATTATGAGTTATGGCCGTCAAAATCTATTATGTTGAATTATGTACATTTTAAGAGTTTTTTTTTTTCGCTAAATAAATTTAAGGAAACTAAACCAATATTATTTTATTAACGAAGACTACAATCGTAAAAATTGGAGATAGCCACACCAATGAAATCTCCATACAACTAGTCAGAGTCAGACAAGGTTGCATTTTGTCACCAACATTGTTCAATGTTTACTCGGATCAGTTATTTAAAAAGGCACTTTCTTTGTAATCTAAAGTAATTCTGTCAGATAATATTGAAGGTCTCCAAATTCTGCTTGATCATATTCACGAGGTAGGAGAGACAATGGACATTAAAATAAACTCAAACAAAACCACACTTTTAGTGTTTAGTCGTGACCCACATCCCGATGCAAAGCTTCAATTAAATGGAGTCCAAGTTCAGAAAGTTCACAAAATTATATATTTGGGAACTGTGATTTGGGAACGAACAACTTAGATCCAGACATTGATATAAAATGTAGAATAGCAATGAATAAAACTACTTTTATGAAAATGAAGTTATTTATTGGCAATAATCATCTCAGTTTAGAACTAAGACAAAGATTGGTTAAGTGCTATGTTTCGTCCGTACTTTTGTATAGTGCAGAAGTGTGGACGTGTGGGTTCATAGACGAATGCAAAGATACCTTGGACAGCAAGAAAAACTAATGACGAAGTACTAAAGAGTGTCAACAAAGATAAAGAACTGCTAAAGGCTGTTAAACATCAAAAAATATCTTATCTAGGACATATACACAGGTATATATTCTGGGAAGTTGATATAAAGTATTACAACTGATCCTTAAAGGCAAAATAGAGGGCCATAGAGGTGTAGGAAGAAAACAAGTTTCTTAGTTAAAAAACATTTGTGAATGGACTCAGATATCAAATGCAGGACAATTATTCCATATTGCAGAAGACCGAGAAGCCTTCGCAATGGTGATCGCCAATGTTGGATAATTCTGATATGGCACGTGAAGAAGAATAGTACCTCTTCCCTATACCAAAATCAGTCTAATAAGCCTAAATAAGACACACCATAAATTCAAACAAGACAAGAATTTCACTGACTACTAAACAACTATTGCAATGCTTATAACATTATACACTGATGCATCAAAAAACAAAGATGAATCTGAAGTAGAACTTTTTTGAATGTGTAATTTTGAATGAATAATTTGAATCAATAAGCTTCAAATTAAAACCAAATACTGCATATTTTTTGCTGAAATGTTTACTATTCTAAAACAATTATCAATATTCCAAATTCATTTAATTTGTGTATTAAAAAAAAAGGAACAATATTTTTGAAAAACAACAAAGGTATTTTTTTTAACAACAAATTATTATTTCATTACTATTACCCCAAAATCTAAATATGTTTCACATGCATGAGAGCTAATGAGATTTAGAAAATTTTGGTACAAATATTTAGTTTGTTAATTATTGTGTTTGCCTTCAACAGTTTACTAAATCCTAAATATTATTAATCAGTGATGAATTAGGAAAATACTTACATTGGCATATCACCAACTTCAACCCTGATAAAATGGGAATTTGGATCAGTGCCCTCCAATTCTTTGTCTATAACTGGCCAAGCTATAAAACAAACAAAAAGAAATGTTAAATTCATATAAATAAAGAGAAGTAAGTATATTTAAGTATATACTAAATTGTTAAGATCTTCTGGTAATGTTAATACTTTGAATCCTTATTTTGAAATATCTGTGGCAATTTCAATGCCAATTGCCATAAAACAAAATCTAACTACAATTTAGTGGTCTTTTGGCCAACTCGATTTCATGTATCAATCATGCTTTCTTCCAATTTTTCTTTGCAAAGTCCTAGTTGTGTATTTAATTATGTGATCTCTGATCATCACCAACTTATTCAGATCCTAATAAAGCCTTTATTTACTTTTATAACATCTTTCGATATAAGTACATGAGTAGATACAGAAATTTACTTAATACTAAAAATGTTTTGTCCATTTAATATACAAACTGCATTTCTAATAAAATACAGACTACCATGAAGATATTTTATAATTTACACAGTCAGCATGATAAAAATATTATCATGTAAGTACATTGTGTTAACTTCAAAAAAATAAAAATGAGACCTTTAAATTTCTGTACATACAGTTGTATAATCGACCAATTTTGCACAAAAAAACTTTTAGTAACAGTCAGAAAATTCTATAGCTTTTTCTAGTGGCATTTTTTTCTAGTAGTAGGTACAATGTTTACAGTGATTTTAAAGGTATCTTGCCCACAATTATCCACAAATACAGGCTGTTGCTTTTTATGGTGTTACTTCTTTAGAAGTAATTTGACATATTTTATGAAAAGTGTACATAATAATGTTATTCCATTAGGTACATTAAGAATAGCCTAATAGAACAGTCATTCTGTTTAAGTAAACATAATTATTCAGAAAATGATGCAGAGAATTAATGAATACAATTGGTCACATGTTTTAGATAACAACAACACAATGTGGAGTAAACCATAACTGTAACAGTCTATATACTAGGTATAATACCAAAGAATATAGAGATATTCTTTGGTAATACAAAAATCACTACATATTAAAGAATTTAAGCCAAATCTAAATACAGGGTATATTATGTGACTCAGAAAGGTTCTAGCAAAGAATATAGACGTGTTCTAGTGACGAAGTAAGGTTAAAAAACCGGTGAAACCTACTTTACTTCTAAATACTAAATGCATTAAGAAAATATATGAAATTACCTCTGACACAATAGGTACACCAACTTGTGTTGTCTGGTTTTCTAGGGCTGGAATACAAAACATGCACTTTTTGGCCCTGGCTATCGAAGTTCTTGAAAAACTCCTGGAATTTTTCATATCCTTGAATGACGTGTGTCTGTACCATTTTTTTAGTTGAATATTTACGAATAATACCTAGCAACATTCACTGCTGCAGCTACAGCTACAATAATTATTTGATTATAAAAATGTTACTTCCTAACTGGAAACTGGGGAAACTGGGGAAACCAGAAAACACAGTAAAAACACACAGATAAAAAACCACACCACACTCAACTACCACATGACGATCATGACGTATAGAAAACTCTGTCACCTATCTGTTTATCTAGAAAATCACAGTCGCACAGTCGTAAATTTAATCGGCGAGGAAAGATTTAAAAAGGTTGATTAAAGACACCGCTGCGGAACAAATTGTGGTAATGTGGCTATTTGGATTTATTGCAGTTTTATATGCGATTAGGTTGCGATAAATATCAGGAAATGGGAAAACCCTATTATGTTAAGTATGATGCTGCAAAAATTAAGACAAGTTTTTAGGCGATAAATTTGAAATGTCATGATGTCATCTTCACAATCTCATCACTCATCAGTAGCGGCGAATTAAAATTTTTTGTAGGAATTGAATCATTTAATTGTCAAGTTGTAAGATTAGAAATACTTAACTGTATTTTTCTAAATGAAGACGAAAGTTCAAGTTCGTACCACAGTAAAGTTTATTTTACTATAAATTGGCTTGAGATAATATCTGGATTAAAATGAAATAATAAAAACTGTATTACAAATTGATTAGTTATAAAGGTGGAGGGCTGCGGTCACTTTGAACAGTTTACAACTTCATTTTTTACATTATAATAAACAGTTTAATGCTTAAAAGAAGCTTCTTTAGCCATATACTGTGACAGCGATGTAATATACTATATAATATAATATACTATGCTACCTACGATGTTATATAATAATAATATTACATATTACATCGTTGTACTGTGGTAATACCATAGAATATGACGTATTCATTTCTTCTTTGTGATCTTCTGTCTTTCTTTCCTCTAAAAGTAAAAGTCATATTAACTAAACCCATGAACTAAACCTAATACTGTGCGTGTTTACATATTAATAAATAATAAATTAATTTTTCGCTCTCTAATAAGCCACAAACATTTTCCTTTGAATTTAGATAGCGTGTCAAATATTTATTCTGAATATTGTTCTGAAGTTATTTCTTTGTGGCATCACATGCAATTATACTATTTTAATGGGAAATAAAATAAAATTATTAGAAGAATTTTTTTACCAATCAACGTAATATGATTATTTTTATTAATATTTTGTATGTACAGTTGCGGTCACGGAATAGTTTACACCTTACTTTTTATATTGTAATACTGTAAAATTGCAGTGTCGTACGGATTTGATAAATGTCAAAGTCAAAAAATTTCAAAACGTCAATGCTTTCGCGAGTGTTCAACAATAAAATAAAAGTATATTAAACTCTTCCAAAATGGTTAGAATACATTTGAATTATAACATGAGGGGATTTGTGCTATCTATGAACAGAAGACTGCAAAATTGTATTGACAAGAATGGGGCTTCCACCAAATATTAATTATTATTTATCATTGTTTATCGTTATTTAATATAAAATAGATTTAAAATAAAATGCATATTAAAAAAAAAAGACTTTTTTATTTTCGTTATTAAGATCATAATCCATTTTATTCAAAAAACTGTTTTCTATATTTTTCATTTTGTAAAATATTTTGATATTTTAATTTTAATCTACCTATTCTAGCTAGTACACCACTGGCAACGTCACTTTGACGTAAAAGGTGCGTTTAAACGAAGTAAAAATTTAAAAAATGGGCTCCTAGATACCTGAACCTGTAAACTATTCCGTGACCGCAACTGTACATTACGGGATCCGATATGGAACTCGAAACGTCAAATAAATTTCATTTTTTACCTGAATTGTGGCTTATTTCCCATTAAAATAGTATAATTTATTTTGAAATGGAGTATGGTTGTTTTTTAACTTACCTCATCGTGATACTTCTGTAAATATATTCGTAAAGTCGGTTCTTGTATGTTATAATTTTTAGGTGTCGAATTCACAATTTTATAACTGTCTCTAGCACCTGTAAATGCTTTATTCATATCTTCTTTTGTCCAAGATTGTCGATTTGTTTTGCGTACATATATTTTGTCCATTTTTATAAGATAAAAACCCCACAAAAATTATAAAATATCAGAATAAAGCGTCGTGGGTAAGTTGACGAATTGGTCATCTTATCTACTTTGTTTTTTGCCAACTTACCCTCGTAAGCTATTTCAAACAAAAACTTTGCTAATAACAAAAGTAAATGAACTGTTTTGTTAATTCATAGAAAGAATGATAGCACTTACCTAGCCACCAGTGGAGGTTATTTTTGCGTTTACTAAAATTATAACGCAGAACATGTGTTACACTCTTTGCTGTTTGTAGCCAAACTGATGATCTATGTCCAGCGCAAACAAATTAGGTGGGAAGTACTGGCCAAAACGCGCCAGTAGCTGTCACTACTACAACATCGAAGCGAAGTGAACAGTGACAAGTGTAGTAGTGTCTGGGTGCTCGGGGAGAACTCGGAAGCCCTGAGGAAGACATCAGAGAGGATGTCGAAAGCTCGTCCCAATGGATATCGACGCGGTTCAACCCGAAAGAATGGTGGGTTTAATATTAATTTTTGTAATAGTATTATCTTAGCTCTAGGTTTCATTGTACTAACCGTGGAAATATTTCCGAACAATATATATATATATATATATATATATATATATATATATATATATATATATATATATATATATATATATATATATATATATATATATATTAAACGTCTTCACTCGTCAGAAATTATTTTGATTTTAAATTCTGAGAATATATCGAGTATCTTGTTTTTGTTTCATCGATTGATTTACATTGATAAAAACAATACAAATTTTCTTAAATGTCGTAACCAAGCATATATTAAATTGATTATTCATCATTCTCGAGGACATGAAGATAAGTTTAAAGATAAAGTACACCGTTTAAATTTCTACTAAACATACTTTAAAACCATCAATTTTCTTGTAAACGGGTTAGAACGAAAATTACAGCGTTAATCATTTTAACGGATTACCCCTTCATGTTACTTCTAAGACTGCAGCAATTTGTCCAGGAAAAATAATCGTTTGCATGTTAGAACATTTATAATTTGCGTCTTGAATACTATTTTACAAAGACAAGTAATCATCTGTGAGTGACTAACATTTTTCAATAAAATTTCTGTACATACATGAAAAAACAAATTTAAATTCACTACACAATTTACTTAAACGATATGTTTTAAAAATTGCAAGTGTCTATCTACAAACATTGTAAGGTTTTATATTCTTCAGTCTTCAAATCAAATTTGTGTTTCATTAACAGTTTAATCTCCTTCGCTGGGTAATTTTTTATGTTTTTTGGTAAAATTAATCAATGCCTGGGCCACAATGTCTATTTAGAGGACTCAAAAAACTTCAAGAAATTATCAAGCGGGTTCAGTAGCCTATACTCGACTGCTATGGCCTTCGTTCTTAACGGACAATACGGATTTATAGATTCCTGATAACCCACTGCTCTAAGAGGATTTGGAACTACTTGTGGCTCTGATTTTCTTTTATTTATTACTTGTTAGAGGAATTTTTACGTACGTATAGTCAAACAGATATCCCGTGAAATTAAAAAGCCACCTCGGAGAATCAAATTTGATAGTGGGGGTCTTGCTAAGCCATTCGTGATGTATGCGCGAGGAGCTGCAAATTTTTACACTGTTGCATTGTTTATTTTACTTGCGGTATTTATATTTAATTTTGTTGAGATATTACGTTTTGTATTTGTGTATTTTATTTTACCTATTTTCTACAAAAGTTTTTTCCAGAACTTTGTTAAAATTAAAAACTGTAAAGGCAAGGAAATAAATTGTGATATAATTGACATTCTGAACAAAATTCAGCTTGTTCGTATGATTTTTAGAGATTCAGTGGCATTTTCGTCTCTGACGACTGGAGTAAGTACCTATTTATTTAGATATTTTATATGATATCCATAGCAAATTATGTATGCTAGCACTAATGGAATATATACTTGCAGGGCAATGCTCATCGTTCTCCTTTCCAAGAAAACATATTATAAAAGAAAAAAAGAAGCAAACTATTGACGATGTCGACAAAAAAATACTGTTTAAATTCAGAGATGCTGAAGGCTATCAAGGTAGCCGAAAATCTTTAAGATTACTTATAAAAGACATTGGCTTCCGCTGGAGAAAAACAAATACAAATCGAAGACTTCTAATGAAAAGACATGGTGGTCCTCCACATATTGACAACATTGTAAAATTTTTAATAACTACCGAGTGATTATTATCAAGCGGTACAATGATTGTAATGTTCGGGTAAATTCCATCCTTTTCTGGCCGAATACTCTCTCTCTCTGCGCATTAGAAGCTCCGCCCGTTTCACGGGATTCCTGTTCAGCAATACACTTTCAGAAGTAAAAGATGATATCAAGTTGCCGAAGAAAAATAAATCGCTAGCTGACTGAAGTTGACTACTGAAATCGCTAGCTGACCAAAGGAAAACCTGTCTGTATGTGGAATGTTCTAAAGTGGAATTTAACTCTTAAAGGGCTGTAGTGCCAATGATGATAATGGCAATGTGTCAATTGGTTGCAGTACGAACAGTTTATAACATATAGAAGTTCCGAATACAAACTTGATGCATATCTGCAACCTGCAGCTATGGATCTTTATTGGGTATTTATATTGCGGAATCTTTGTCCAGAACTGCCGATACTTGTCTTTTGGTGCTAATATGTATAAGCATTTTATCCACTCTAAATATTTCCCGTTCACACGGTATAAAAAGCAGCCAACCTTATCCTCATCCCGAAAACTGGGAAATAAATGGAAGAACTGGGTGCTTTTAGGCCAATATACACACACTAGGCAAGCTATTCGAAATCCTCATAGGCTCGGAAAAGAAATATAAGAAAACGGAGGCCTGTCGGACAGCCAGTATGGGTTCAGAAAAGGCAGATATGTCATAGATACCATAAACACGGAGAAATAAGCATGCAGGGGTGGGTGGATGGTGGCACTCTTCCTGGACATCAAGCACGCATTTAACAACGAGAGCTTGGAGAAAATCATCTAACTATTAGAAGAAATGAAAACATCCCCATAACGGCAGAACTTCGTGAGGGTTTATTTCACAGACAGGAGCATTACCAAAAATGACAAAGTGAAGACATCTCCGGGTTCGGTGCTAAGTCCGCTGCTCTGGAATGTACTCTATAATATAATATTGGAAATAAACCTAGGAGAAGGAATACAGGCAATTGCTTACGCAGGCAACCTGGTCATACTAGTGGAGCACTCGAGAATGGACTCATAATGGATAGGGCAAACACAAGCCTTAAACTAGTTAAACTGTGGCTAGAGGAGAAAGAACTGACGCTAGCCACATATAAGACGGAGGCCATAATCTTGAAGGCATAAACTGCGAGAGAGTATATCTCCTTCACTTTGACAAATGAAAACATCCCAACTGTCAAGAAAGTCAAATAAGTGGGCGCAATACTAGATACCAAACAGAGCTTCGGTGAATACATAATATATGCTGCGAAAAAAGCCGATCAAAGAACAGCAGCTTTAACAAAGATCATGCCAAACATAAGGAGTCCGTGGACAGATAGAAGAATTCTCATGGAAGTGGTCCACTCCACAATACTATACGCAATACAGTGTGCAGACGTACCTTCCATTGTATAAACGCGATATTAATCTAATAGCATTTTCAGTGTAGCTTTGAAAATTTTAGTTGTAGTTTTGCCAATTATCTGCATATTTATGAATTTAAAAAACTCTGAATCCGCCTCTAAACAAAATATAATTTATATGATAACAAAGTGGAATGTATGTAGTTGCTGCTAATGCACGGTGTAAATACGGCTTAACATATGATAGAATAGACAGGGTGACACTTATATTTGCCAGATTCAGATAGGGAGTCGTAGCAAACAATATAGACACATAATTTGGTCGGCATGTAAGCAATATTAGACAAACTGTGTATTTTTGATTTTAAAACATAGTAAAAAAAGGGTAAAAATAAGAAGTGTGTCTGTTTAGACCATGAAGTAAATATACAATACAAAGAATATTAACTTTAATTTTGCAGACTAATCTCAAGAATGTATCTACATCATAAAATAAGTCTTCTTGCTAAATAAATTATGATTATTGAATATACACCATAAAATGGTGTATATTCAACCTGGTATCACTTCCAAATAGCCAATGTTTTTATTCCACCCCAGTTGTTTTACTCTGCCTTGAATTTTCTATGACAACTATATCATTGTCTTCTTCATTATCAGTCACATTTATTTAAATCTTTATTTTCACTGACACTTCTACTGGAGATTGGCGATCATTCTGTGCAATTTCTGCTACTCTTAACAAGTTTAAAGTATTTAATCCGGTCCACTGTTAGATGTTGTTGCGCCAAGAGATCTCTCTTCATACTATGACCCTCTTTCTTCTTGAATCTTTCCCATGATTCAGCATGATATAGGATATCTTTGATTTCTCATAATATAACCTATGTAGGGCCAAATACTTGTAGTTGTGTATGTATATCAATTATTGGGCTAGGTACAATTTTGTTGTTTTTTGTTGATGTTTTTTTATTGCCATAATCTTGGTTCTGCTTGTATTTGTCGTCATTCCTCTTTTCTCAAAGCAGCTTTTGACTCTTTCTACAACCGTTTGAGGGGCCACATTAGAATCTGCCAATAAGACAGTATTGTGTCTGAATGTTGATTAATTAACTGAATTAAGGAAAATTAATAAAAAAGTAAACCACATTTTAAAAAATGAGAAACTCTGAGACAAAAGGATTTAGTAATAAGAAAATCAATATGAAAATTGCAAAGAGTGCAAAACATTTATTTACATATCCGAAAATACTATAGTAAATACAAAGTTAATCTTTCAGCTTATTGGTATCTAATAATCATATAAAAAAATCAAGTACATAATCTCTATATCTCTAATCTTCATCATCATCATCACACAACAGCATCTTGACCAAAAACTCTTTTTCACATTGAGGACCTTCAAGTCTTTTTGGTGTTTTCCATTTTACCAAAGTTGGTAACACAAGCAGTTTTGTGGTGGGATCCTTACGGAAGGAGCAATTTGGGTCTTTCCATCTACAAAAAATTCTATAATACACACTACTCCAAGACACCAAAGCACCAATATTAAATGTATTAATTGATTTATTAATGAAGTTGAAATAATAATTTCAATATGTTTTATAAAAGTACTTTCAAATAATTACTTTTTTTTGCAAAATGCATTACTAAAATTCAGCACAAATCTCAAGAAAATAAAAAAAAAGGAAATATTACATTTATTTTTTAACAGAATCGAATTCTACACATCATATTCCGACATCTGCAAGTTATGCCTTAAATTAGATTTTTAATGCTGTTTTGGTATAGCTCTTTTTGACTTTAAAAATGTATTTTTTGTCAAATTGAACAAATTTCCCATAACTTCCTGAACACATTAGAACAAAACAATTATTACTTACGTTGGTCGGTCTCCTACTTCAACATGTATGAAATCCACACTGTCATCTAATGTCTCAAGTACTTTACTTATCACAGGCCATGCTAAAACATATTACATCTGTTGTTAGATGATCTGACATTGTGAATGCAAAAATCTTTCCAATAGATTTTTAATATCATGTTATTTAGTCATAGTCAATTAAAAAAGTAATCTGAATACAGTCTGAATGATACAGTAAAAAATGCATTTAATATGTTCTAATATACAAAAATCAGTGACTTTCAATATAAAATTGAATTCCAAACAAGCGATATAATACCAATAAATATAGATAAGCATCTATATTTATTGGTAGTACTCCCCTCAGCTTTGTTGATCATGTGTTTTGCCTTTTAATTCAAGAAGTAGATAGTTGCAAAAATAATAATAATAATTGTTACTCACACTTTACTATTCTAAGTTTTTTCTATGTATACTTAAAATATTTGACTAAATTTTCAGTTTACTTGAATAACATGCCATTGACCTTTTAATTATGATGTTCGTTCATGTATAAATATATCATTGACAAAATGATAATGGATTTAGGAATGTTTATACAGAGAATTTTCAGTTTATTTTTTCTGTACATCTTTGGCATCTTTAGGGTTAGGTATTAATTGATCTACTTAATGTAAACATATCACAAGACAGATGTCAAATTTTCTAAACTTAATTTAATATTATTGGCTGTTGTTGTTTGAAGATTAAAGAAATTAACTATGTATTTCTAAACTAACTTACCCCTTACACAATCATCACACCAACTTTCACCAGTTGCTTCCTCTACAGCACCACCAAAATATATACAAACTACAGTTCCTTGTGCCTTGAACTTCTTCATAAAATTGACAAAATTATCATAGCCTTCTATATGATGAGAACGGACCATTCTCAAAGCTTGTTATCAGTACAAATTATAAAAAAAAACACCAAAACTGGTAATAAAGTTGTATATCGGCGACTGGAAAATCCGAGTAGTAACCGCCTAATGATTGACGTAATTTTAATTAACAAGTAGATCAGTAGCAGTAGTGTAACAATCTCAGGGTTACGGAAAATTGTTACTAATTTAATATTATAGATATAAGTAAATGATAACAGTACTTAGTTTTGATAAGCAGATCAAAACAATGTAATTTGTATTTAGCTAAAAATGAACTGTTTACAATATTGATTAAATAATACTAAGAGTTATGCAATATATAACACACATTCGTGTATAAAATGTTTTCTAAAACTAAGAAATAAAGAAAGAAAGTCATTTTCATATATTTCATAGGCTTCTTTAGTCTCTAAGATGTTTTTTGTGCGTTCATTTAAAATTATTTATTTGTATAGTATTAATTTTGTAATTATAAATGGTAACTGGGGTCTATTGGAATTGTAGTAAAACAACAAGATATGTAGTTATCGCTGCAACAAACTAAAAATAATGAAAGTTCTTTTTATTTATGTATACTTCATCTAATTTACTTACCGTTGCACGTCATTATCATTGACAGAGATCGAAGTTGACATAGTTGCATAGAGCAAAAAGACAAAACAGTGAATCTAATCGTTATGAAAAGGAGACCAAAAAAGTGGCCTTTGATGGCGGACATAGGTATCCGGAAATGCGAATGCGCCAAATTTAAATTTTCCGACACTTATTAACAGTAGCAATAAAATAGTTTTCAGAATGTGTCTTAGACGAGAAAGTTTTAATTAAATATTAACGATAACAGTCTAAAATGTGAAACAATAATTGTCGGACGAAGCCTAAACATCCCTAAACGGTCCGATACCTAAACACCATCCCTTCCTATCTTCGCAGTCGTTTGTTGTTAAATTTCCTTCGCTCATGGACTTGTTTATGCCGTGTTGCCATTCTCATCTGGGTCTTCCTCTTTTCCGTCGACCTATCGGTTGCCATTATACTACTTTTTTGGGGAGTCTTGTTGCTGGCATCCGTTGAACATGCCCATACCACCTTAAATGTTTCTTCTCTATATTTTGAGTTATATTTCCTTCTATTCCCATACGTTGTTTTGTTACATCATTTCTGATTCGGTCTCGTCTGGAAATACCTAAAGATCTTCTCATTGCATCCATTTCTACTGCTTCTATTCGCTTTTTGTTCTTTTCACTAATTCTCCATGTTTCAGCGCCATAAAGTAGAGTAATTTTAATCATGATCTCATATATATTAAATTTTCTTCCTTTCGTTATCTCTTTACTCCACAGTATACCATTGAGACATCCTAAGACTTTCTTTGCTTGTGTGATTCGTTTTTCTATTTCCCGTGTATCAGTTCCTGTATTGTCAAAGGCAACACCCAAGTAGTCATAGCTCTGACATCAGGAAATATGTTGTCCGTTTTCGAGGTCTATGTTATCTGACTCATTTCCAATACAAAGATATTTGGTTTTTGTTGTATTGACATTCATTCCCCAGTCGTAATATTCTTCTATCAGTTTTCTAAGCATGTACTGCATGTCTTCCCTGTCGGTCGCTAGTACTACCCGGTTATCAGCAAACTGGAGTGTATATATACATTCATTGCTAAGGTCTATACCCATTCTATGCATCTTTCTTTTCTATCTTTCCAATGCTGCTGCAACAAATATCTTGAATAAGGTTGGTGAGATACAACATCCCTGTCGCAAGCCTTTTGTAACCAGTAATTCTTCTGTTAGATATATTCCTGTTTTTATCTGTGCCTTTGAGTCTCTATATAGTTCTTGTACAGCATTTATCAATGTGTGGTTGATGTTAGATCTTTTCAACGTTGTCCACAATTTTGTTAAGGGGATGTTGTCATATGCTTTTTGCAGGTCTACAAGAGTAATATGCGTTTCTAGATTGTTAGCCGATCTTTTTTCTATTATTTGTTTAAAACAAAATACGTTATCGGTGCACGATCTTCCTGCACGGAACCCGCTTTGTTCTTCCTCTTCATTGTGCTTATATTCTTCCTCGATCATATTTCCCAAAATTCGTCCATACAGTCTGCTCAGGGTGCTGGTTACCGATATGCCTCTATAATTATTACAATTCCTTTTGTCCTCCTTTTTGGGTATTGAGGACATGTATGCCGTTCTCCATTGTTCTGGTACTGGGTTGTCCATTTAGACACTGATTGATAACATAAGTTAAGTTTTCAAATAGTTAATGAACTCCATTCTTAAGCATTTCAGCATAGATTCACTCAGGTGCAGCGGATTTACCATTCTTTAGGGTCATTACAGCCTTTCTTACTGTTTCGATGTCTACTCTCGCTTCCTCTCCTTGTATATGTACTGACTGTGTTGGGGAGTTCGCTAAGTATTCTTGTCTTGTCTCTGTCAGCAAGCTTTCATAGTGATCTTTCCATTGTCTTGGTTTTATAGTGTGTATGTGTGCTTTGTCTTTTCCTGTATTTTTCACTGATTGTATAAAATTCCATACATTTGTACATTGCTTCCCTCCGATGTATGTATTGATTTCTTGACATTTCTTATCCCATGTTTTATTCTTTTCTTATTTTATCATTTTTTGTAATTGTCTATCGGTTTCTTTGTAAGCTTGATGGTCTTCAGTATTTTTTGTATTTAGCCATTTTAGAAGCTGTTCTTTTTTCTGTTTTACCATATATTCTATTTCTATGTTCCACCATATTTTGTTACTAATTTTGTTTTGCTGTGTCCCGAGTGTCTCCTTAGAGGCCCGGTGTAAACTAGCAATAATATTCTCGTAAATATCTGAAAATGTTTGTCTCTCTATTTCTCGTAGTTTTTCATCCAGTCGTCGTTGGTATAGCTGTTTAGTACTATCATTTATAAAACTATCGAAGTTGTACTTCGGAGTGTCCACTGTCTGCAAATCTTGCTTGTCTTCTAGGTTTTGGTCTACGTGTATTATCTTAAGTGGGAACAAAATTTTTGCTCTTACTAAGTAGTGATCGGATCCACATGTTATTCCTCGAAGAACTCTTACATCATTCCACTGCAATACAGATTTTTGTTTACTAATAATATAATCGATGACTGATTTTAGATTGCGTGTTTGTTGAATCCAGGTATATCTATGTATGTCCTTATGTTTGTAGAATCCATTGCTAATTTTTAACTCATAGTTCTCACATAAGTGTATAAGTCTACCGCCATTATCATTAGTTGCCATTTCTCCAAAAGGTCCTACTACTCTACTGTTTTTCTGATATCCCGTTCTACTATTGAAGTCTCCAAGCATAATTATTTCTCTGTTTTTTCCTATGTTGTTAAGTATATCCTCAATTTTTTGAAAGAAATCTTCTTTCACGTTGATTATTGCATCATTAGAGGGGCATAAGCGGCTATCATGGTAATCTTGTGCCTTTATATGTCTATATTTACTCTTAGGATATTCTCATCAAATGTTTCCGAGTTTGTTATATTATTCTTAAGTTTATTCTTTATTAGTATTGATACTCCCCTAGCGGCTCTTTTATCTTTCGGGACTCCAGTGAATTCCTACCATATCAGTGCCAGTTCCTTTTTTCTTTGTTTCAGTTAGTGCTATAATATCCATTTTCATTTGTTCTAGATCAGGCACAATGATATTAATCTTTTGTTTTATCCACTGTATATTCCATGTACCAATATTCATAATCCGTTTTCTTAGCTTTGGTCCTTTCCTTGAATACCCATCGATAGTTTCGAGGCTTTGTTTAGGCTTTTTGGTATGTTAAAATTTTGACGAGTATTGGAGAATCAGTCCAATGCCACAACCCCCAACCTGGAGGACCGGGTAATTTGTGATCAAGGTTTTCTTCCTCTAGCCTTTGACGATCCAACGACTATAACTACAAGGCAGCAGCTTGATTCTATACAAACCCTAAAATCAAAGGTTGCCACTTCCGCCGTCCATGCCGTAGTGAAGATATTCTTCCCCGCCACGATTACCGTTGTGGACTTCATCCGTAACCCTAGACAAGGGACCCTAAACAGGTACTAGTTTCCCGGGCCAGGAAACACCTGGAATCTGCGGAAGGCAGGGATTGATTCATTTTCCCTGAGAGGACTATCCAATGGACTATCCAATGGAGTTCCTACCCGTTACCTAGACAAACAATAACATGACCCAACTGAATTTGATTTCTTAAACAAGGAAAGACTCTCTTTCCTTATTTAATTTGGCCTCTCAAGATGGCACTTCCTGTCTAACAATATTTGTGCCCCTAATACTTTTACATTCCCTCTTTTGTCTTTTTGCTCGATGCATAGTTGCCAAAGTTTAAAAAAATCCTGACTCCATTTTAAACCAAATAGGTCACATAATTATTGCAAAAGTATTACCATCTCTTTACAACGACTATTTAAATTCCTACGTGACATTTTTGAAATAAAATACACTAAGTTTGTTCTGAAAAGAACAGATTTTATTAAATAGGTAAAAATATAAAACAAGAGGTATTCACTTTAAAATTCAAAATAATAAAGTACAAAAAGTGTTAACACCGCAACTGTCAAATAAGTGTTACCAATTTATGCCAAAAAATCACCTTCGTTCGATTAGTTACAGTGTGTTCCGAACAAATGTTCTTCATAAAAACGCTTTATAATGCATTTATAAAAATTAAATGAAACATATTATTGTGTATTTCTTTAAGTTAACATTAATAGAAATTTTTTAATATTATTTCTACGCGTATATAATAAAATATGTCTATTAGTGGCTGTAATGCCAATGTACTCGGCAAAGTGATTCTAAAAAAGAACACACCTACCGCCTAAATATTTCGTGTTGGTATCATGTGACCTCACAGACTATGACGCGGATGACGTGCCACGGTAAGTAATTTAGATGTGGTATATCTACGTAAAAAACGATTAAAATACTTACACCTGTCAATATCGACCTCTCAATTTTAAATAAGGCATTTATGTTGACTTCTACTCGACAGTTTGTGCATGTTATCAGAAATATTAATAGCTAAAAAATATGACGTACATATGAAGATCTACTATTATAATACTATTCGGATTTTGAAAAAATACATACCGTTCTTTTAATTCTTGAAAGCGTTTCTTGAACCAGCAATTTC